CTTATTAGTGTAGTGGATTTGACGTTCAATAATTTTTTTTTGTTACGTGATTGCACATTTGCTCGAGTCGAAAAGTAATCTAAAATACACAAATTACGCTGCAAAAGGTATAAAAACTGTTATCGATAATTGATTGATTGCCGAGAAGCACTAGCCGGAGTCCCGAGTCATAACTCTGCACTAAACACCTTAAAAAGTTAAAATCTCAATTACAATAAATTTAGAAAATAGACACACATGATATAAAATATATAATAACATACGTATTAGGAAATTTCCTTAATTTTATTTTCTTGGGTTGATGTGATCATCGTCATCGCGTGACACTTGTGTGAGCTTGGAGGAAGCATCATGAGCGGGCGTTGCCAGGTAAATGGCTATCCCGTGAATGGAAGCTTAGTGTTTTTCCCCATTTCTTTACGAAGAATTAGAACAGTGACACAAGGTCTGAAAGAATGCGGCACAGATATTTCATAATAATACCATGTACTATAAATACTGCTACAGCAAAATTAACTGTCATTTTACCATATTATGGTAAATGACAGTTAAATTTTGCTGCTAGCAAGTAGCATTGTAAAAAAGATCGGAGATTGTCATTATTTCGTTTTGAGGTAAAGGTTTTGTTGCTCGTCATTATCAACGTGTGGATGTGGCATGTGCCAAATTATTTAATTTTCTGAAAGTTCAAACATTTTAGAATCGTCCCATTCGGGTCATTCAGTTCACGTGCTTGTGCAGTAAGAAACTGCTTGTTGACATTGAATGAATTTAAGAAAGTGTCTTGTTGCCAAGTCGTTTGCCTTGTTTTACAATTTTGGCCGTTTTTGTTAAATAGTTTAGGGCGGTTTATTATAATATAGTTTAAACAGTTCAATGTAAATTTAGTTTGTCACTATGTTCAATGTTCATGTTATTATTATGTTCTTCACAATATGGGGTCGTTCACATATTACGTAATCACTTTTTGAACATTTTTACCCACCCCCCCTACGTAATCAGTTTTACACGTAGATGTTGTTGTCAAAATTTACACTAGCGTAATCATTCGGGAAACCCCCCCCCCCCCCCCCCCCCCCCCCCTCAAGCTGATTACGTACTATGTGACGACCCCCATATTGATGTTTCGATTGAATTCTTTCAAAGTATTGAAGTGAAAACTACAATATTTTTGTTTAAAGCGTTGCGTCCGAGCATCGAAACAATTGGCCCTCAGGGTTTACCTAAAATCAGCTCACTTTCTCATTTGTATACTGCGGCACTAATCATTTTTATTTAAAAAGAAAACAAGCAGAAACATTAATCTCTTCATATAGCTCAGGTATGTTCTTGTTCCATATCCAGTGTTGCTAGACAGAATGGTAACAAATACTTTCGAAGCGCCGCAGCTGGTTGTTGCTCCTGTGCTTCCGCATTGAAAGATACCAGAAGGCTCCTTATTGCTATCACAAAGCTTTGGATGGTGCAGTAAACGAGGAGGAGCGAAGTTCAGCCTACAAAAAACTTAGCTGTAAACCACCCAATACATATAAAATCTCTTTTCAGATCAGGTTGAAAATCATTCAGGCTATAAATCATCAGCTCTGTTTTATTTTAAAGAATGTTTAACCTATGGTAACTTGGCCCATCTCTAACCGGAAGAGGAATTATGTCAGAAGATTGGATCGGACATTGTGGAGAGGCTAGAAACCATTTTCTTCTGTATGTTTGACTTAATCGTGTCATTAAAACTGCACCAAAGAATTAAATTCTATCGTCGATTTTCTTCCGTTCCAGAATCAAAACTTCATCGGGCAAAAAATGCCTTAAGCAGTTGGTTAAGGACTATTTACATATCTTGTTGTATCACTATGAGAAAACAAATTACAAGGAAAGTCTTCGTGCTCGAACTGAAACTGTACACTCCTTTAATAAACTTGAAGAATTATGTTTTCGCCAGCTCGGTCGGCGAGTTTTTCTTCTGCAAGTGCAGGGCTTTCATCAGCACCATGAAAAGAAGACGTCTTTAAGAATCGTTTGCTATCTGAATGTTTACAAAAACGTATGATCGCAGATCAGCTCTTCGATCAACTTAAATCTATGATGTTGAAGACCTGGATGTGAATGCAATTTGGCAGGTTTATTGATTATTACACGGAGAGTGTCGTTCTGACCCCGTGAGAATGATGTGGAACAGGAAGCTATCTCCTTACTTAGAATTGGGATTTTGTACCCAAAGTGCTGCTGCAAAAGGAGTTAAGGCTAAGGAAGTGCGAATGAGAGTTCTCCAATTGTCAATCTTTACAGCCACGAAATCTCAGTCAGGATCAGTGGTTTTAAGGATGCTTCCTCCATACTTTCGGGCTATCAAAGGGATCAGAAAAGAAAGAAGAACATGAATGGGAGAAGTTCAAGAAAAAAAAATATCTTGACAATTTGGGACCGAACCTTAAAACATTCTGAAAGAAAACATGAATAAAAAATACTGTCATGCCAGAATATTTCTGGGTTGGTTGTAAAATCTTTGAGCATTCCTCGAGCATTGTCCGCAGTTTGATGTAGACATTGAACAAATTCAAAAGTCTGGAGTTGCTCTGAAGAAGCTTTAGCAAAGGCAATTGTTTACTATCATCCAGGACAAGATTGATACTTAAATCTCACGGTTATGGAATAAAAAGTGTGGTGCGAGGAAATCACTAAAAATCTTACTGGAACATACGAGATGATGAAAGAGTTTAAAACCTGGTGCTATTTTGGGTTAAGAGAAGAAGGACGAAGGTGATGAAAGATAGTTTTCGTAACAGGGTGGGGCCACAAGTCAGTACCCATACGTTGGACTTTTAAAGCTCAGTCACTGGTGCCCCAATTTAAATACTTCCTTATGGTATGACTTAGTACCACCACTGGTCGAGGAATTTGTCAACTCGAAAAATATTCGCGTTCATTTTTTTCAATGGAAGTTCATTTTCACATTTATTTGATAGTTTGGATAGTACGGATCAAGCTAAATATTATTTGAATTGTGTTTGGCCATTCGAATTAGTTTGTCCTGAAAGAATTAGAAATGTAGGCTTCTCAGATGACCGAGATATGAAGCATAACGAGTTTTATTCATTACGTGTGATCAGGTGATTGGTTTACCTAATCACGTGAGAAGGGTGGACCCCGTTACTACCCCGTTAAACATTAGGGAATTGTTAAGGGGCCCAATTTAAGGTTGCCGTGTCACGGTGTCACATAATCACCCAGTAATTTTGTTAAACGAGATACAGAAAATGCTTGATTAACTTCGTCATTTCTAATCCCGTTTTTGCTCATGTTTTCAGATCATTTGCAAAAATTTGGAATCTACCGTCTCTGAAAACATTAGGCGTTCAGCTGTTTCAGAGTAAACAATATAGTACATTAATGCGATGAACAATTGAGTGATGCCAAGAACAATAATTGATATCAACACATACACAATTTTTTGGCTAACTGCGTATCAAAACACTTTTCGATTCCCTTTCTTCCTTGTTGGATTACATTTCTCTTCTCCTCCTGGGGATGTGAAAAGTTTGTTTATGATTATGCCTGAATCTTTGTTTAGTTTTTTTGCACATTTTTTAGTCCACTTTCATCAGTGAATTTTCAGAGATCATAGCAAATAGATTCACTCGCTTTATTTTTTATTGTTTCATAACTTCTGAAAATTACAAATTATTTTAATGTAAATATTATTCAGATTTTATCACTTCAGGAATGTTATGTAGATTTTTAGTCAACTTTTCAATTCGTGTAAATATAATTGTATTAATTCGTGATTACAAATTTTTTTAAAACATAATTTAAAGATAAAATTACTGATTGTTTAAAACATTCACATTTTGTTTGTTAAATGTATTATATACATATATCAGAAAAATTGTTGTTAGTATCCTTGTTATACTATGTTTTTTATTCTAATTAAACCATGTTTTAAAATGAATTTCTTAATGCTTTTGTTTATAATAAAGTGGCCATACCAACTTTATCGGCCCAATTTTCTATGAGGCATTGTAATATACAGAAATAAAGGTAGTGGCCAGTTTCCTGATCCACCGAACATGGCATGATCAAGAAAACCCACCTTCGCTATATATTAAAATAAAAAACCAGAGGGCGCACACGGAGTTGGAAAACCCATGGACCTATACGATCTGCAGTCGATGGCTCTTACCACTGGAGTATACACCCATACCGTGTACCACAATCCTGTACTTAAAAACGAATTGTAGAAAGCCAAAGAGTACATAATACATGAATAGTTAAACGAATAGACAGCGTGTCCGAAAAAAAAAAATTGGGTTTAATTTTAATTTCACAGTATTTAGTGCTTTTATAGGCCGCTAGATGTTGGGATTGAGTTTGGCATTATATATTAAACTGAATGATCGATCTACGGCAAAAGTCTACGGCATCAAAATATGCGGATGCAGCAAGTTATCGAGTTGATCGATTGTTAAAAATGATATCACGTTTCTAATTGAATTTTTCGAAATGTTTTTGCAAGATTACTCAACTAACGCATTAAACTCGCTATCAAGGGTGAGCTGGCATGGCAGACTCTGCGCTAAATTATATCGGAGCACCTCCCTAACCAGAGTAGCTAGACCAGCTTATCGTTGTAACAACAGAGTTGCTAGAACCACCACAGCAGTGAGGTCTTGTACCAGCTGATCATGGCCACCGTCGCTCCCTCCCCCCACCCTTCAAGGTAATTAGGGGTCAAGAGTCAGACACAGGGTCCTTTGATTTGCGGCTCTAGACTCTGGAAATATCTTTCTAGTTAGGAGAACTGCACTGTTATCAGCAATTTGTATTTTTCAATGTCTTTTTGTCTATCTAACCGGAAGTACGTATACATAAATATACACTATTTACAATTTTTTTTTCTTTTCTAAGAGTATTATTTAATATGTTATGATACTACAGGCCTCAGAGGCGGATCAAGTTAGCAGACCTGAGGGAGGGCAGTGCACAAACAGGACAAACATAGTGGAATGATTCTTGTGAGGGACTTGAAATCAGTTAACCCTGATCTCACAGCTAGTGCCACTCTCTCTTCAAAGGTTTGTTAGTTTGTTTCCAGCTCATGGTAGGATGATCTGTTTTGTCTTCATCGGAAAATTTGTGGTTACCGCACGAATGAGATTGGTAATACTCTCCGATATCTCATGAGTGCGGGTAATTGTATTTTTCTCCCGTCTTTCAGCACAATATGAGATATCCGCTGCTTATTTATTCCTTCGTTTGCTTTTCCCCAATTTTTCCTTGCCATATACCCATGATCTACAGTATTTTATACCATTTATCTCAACCAGAGACGAATAAGATTTTACTGTGGCTAACTTGGACTATTTTCAGGGGAGGGACGTATCTTCGACCGGACCTGTGTAATGGTGATGGGTGAGTGTTGCAAACACAGGTTCCACCTCACAATTACAAACAGCGTGAGATAGCTTCTTATCACTGAGCTGATCACGTTGGTAGTCTTGTACATGACGATGTGTTGGATAGTTCTGATACTCGTCGTCCCTGCCCACCGTCAACTCTATGTTCAATGAGAAGGTAGCTATACTGTTGGGGATTTTATTATAAGCAAGAGCTACAAGTAAAGTTAGCTAGGCTAGGCTGCAGTGGAAACTATTACTATACGTCCAGTGTGATCAGTGATTTGATAAAAGGTGATGATACATCAACTTAAATTTAAACGATCTGCTAATCACGAAGGAACGGCTAGCTAGATCTCTACTGAAAGAGTTTATCTGAAAACAGCAATTTTGATAGGACATGGGGTCCGGCAGTTGTCTTAACAGGTGGTCGAACCCAACTTCAAAACGTGGCTTACCAGTACGTAGAAAACATGGGGCATCGCATTCCAACATAGTTTGATGACATGCTTGATTTCATCTCAACTTCCGAGGCAATGGGTAAAGCTACGGGAGCGGGATTTAAAATTAGGATTAGCCACTGCACAGTGTTGTATGCGTCACTCAAACACCCAAAGTTCATAGATCTTGATTCAACGTGGTTTTAATGAGAAGGGTGATGTTGAGTTAGCGTGAAGTATGGTGCAAGATAGTAACGGAATAGATGTCGCCACTAAATCATTAGCACAATTATATGTGATAAAGCGCTGAGGAATTTGGAGGAGCTGCCTGGCGGTGTATAAGACAGGACTGGCAAAATTAATTTGTTTTGATCTGGTTTTGAACAGGACTAGCTGATGATAAAACTATTGATAGCAGTAAATTATCAAATATCATTCACGGTTAGTATAGATAACGATTGTATTTTGATTGTTAATTTATTATTACGTTAAGGCTTTGAGCATACTAAACTAAGAACTTATTTTATTTTCAAAAAGCCTTTGTAATTTTTATTGAAGAAGTAGTTATGCTATGAAGGAGTAATTGGATAAGGGATTAATTGATGAAAGGAGTAATAAATTTACAATGAAGCTGTGAAGCAAACTCTAGTGGTGAAGCCTTTTAAATAAGGTTGTGACCCCGTACTTAAAACGTTTCCCTTTGACATTGAGTTTATTGCTATCGAGTTCGGCACTATTATATCGAAAAGTAATTTTAATTTGGTTCATTTTTTGCTGGGCAGCTCTAGCCCAGTCTAAATGTCATGACACAAAAAATAACATGTGGATTGTGGACCTTCAAGCAAAATTGACAATTATTATGCACAATTAGCACATTAAACCTCATGTTTTAATGATCGCATTAGTCTATGTTACTGTCAAGCATTTCCGTTATGAACATTTCGCCGTGTTTACGTAAATTACAGATTCAAAGGAAATGAGACTTTTCCTATGGTCTTACTTCCATCCAAATTACTTCCCATTTTATTTGTTCTTGGCGCACTTGCACAGATATCAGTCTTGATTATCGTTGAAAAAATATCAAAACCTTTCCCAGTGAATTCATTGTGTTGCACGCTAACAGCATTGTAAGTTTTTCATCACATAATATTTTGGTTAAAATGTAATAAATTGATTTCAGATATAATCGTTAATGGACAGTACAGGTTTTTGTAAGATTGCTTTCTCATGTTTTATGTTATTATGGATTTTACAATCTAGATTTTATTTGGCTCAGTTTTTACACCGATGCGTAATCAGTGACCCATTTTTGCCAGTTACGGCGCTATCATGTAAAGATGATTATACGTTTTTCTATTTTCTAATGAATAAAATGGTTTATTCTTCTCTAAATTCAAAGGATATTAAAACCAGTGTTCAAAAAACTCACATGAAATCCTTTTATTTATGAATATCAAAACTGTTTCATTTTATTCTAATAAATCTCTGTCGAGAAATATTTTCGATCTAAGTCTTACTTATCTATTTTCAGGAATTTCGGATGGACATGGTTATCAAGTAGTTGTTTAGTCGTGCGATGACGTTCATCCATGCTCCAACCATTGTTATGATGCGTAAGTCCTTAAATCAATTTTGAGTAAATCCTTGCTTCTCGTTAAAAAATATTGAAGCCAGATTTTTCCAAGCAGCTAGAATGATAAATAAGGACTGCATTGCGAACTTGAGAAGTGGTTCTCTCAGTAGAGTTTTAGTTTGCCCCCTCGATCATGATCCCAGCCTACCGGTATAAAAGTACTAGCATTGTGCTTTCTTATCTCTTTTCTCTTTAAGGGTACTAGAATGAGATCTTAGATTCTTCTTATCTATAGCGCCAAACTGGGTCTTTATTAATAAAGATAAATGACATTTAGTATCATCTTGCATGTAAATCATATTATAATAAGAATGATTAACCTCTTTATCAATTCCTATTATCCTTTCCATTTGCATCATACAATGATGATTATAATACGAGGGTAGCTAATAACTTAAGAGTAATTACACTGATTTGTCATAGTAAAACAATCATTATTAGATTATTAGAGCACTGCACTACTAAGATTTGCTTTCGTTTCTGAAGTAAAGTGGTTTACCAAAAAACGTAAAATTTTACGAAAATGCCGTGCTGCAAAAACACGGTCCTTTTAATAAGGTAAATATAGTCATAAATCAAAAATGAAATATGTGAGTTGTGACACAACAATCTCAATTTTTGCTACCTAATAAGCTAATACCTTGAGTCGGTTTACACTTTCTAAATATAAAAGAGCTGACCATAATTATATCATAATATATTGTTCTTAATTGCATGAACTTTTTCAGGTTCTGTAGCTCTCAGCTCTCCTAGCTCTACTTCTAGTTCTTCTTTTCAGTCTCAGCTCTTCTAGTTCTACTTCTAGTTCTTCTTTTCAGTCTCAGCTCTTCTAGATCTCCTGCTTAACTGTAGTCGAGCACTCTCTTGGGGAAACCAAGCAACAACTATTTATTATATATATGTATATTGTTAGTCAGCCACAACTGTCAGTAAAACAACGCGGTACGCGTTGACTTCAAATGTCGGTAAAATATACCTTTACACTTACAGTCATCCTCAAATTATTTGTTATATAGTAGTGTTTAAAGTATTTAAACTATATACATATATATATAAACTTGCTGAGGCCAGAGGAGCGAGAATCTTTGATAGATATAATTCTAAATATTACATTTTTTTAATGAGATTCTGTTCTGAGCGAACAGAACTTCAGCAGCATTTTACAATTTCGCACAGCTTTGCTGAAATTATATGGAAAAACTCAATAAATATTAATTATTATATTTAAATAAATGGGCAAGCTGCAATACAAGGAAAAAATATTTATTTTGAATCGCAGCTTGGCCGGAGTTGGACTTTAAGTTTTCGTTCTATTAGTATTTGTAATTATTCTGTTCACCTAACCAATACCATGTGCCTACGCGTACTATATTATTTACTGGGCCGCGCTCAGTCTGTCATTCCGCCGAATCTCTATGTTAATGAACATGATATCCTGAGGTCCCCAGGTAAACTATTATACCATATAAATATAATACGTTTGGCACAATTGAGGGCTCTGGTTCATGGTTAGAGCAAATTGTTCTGCGGCCAACAATATTCGGAAAAAATAGAAATGGTTAACTCTAAGTCTAACAATTTGATCAAGTTTTACTATATCATTTAAGATATTGTAAGAAAACGGCGAATAGCAGTCACCAGTCACGAAAAAATTGTTATGCGATTTCAAGATATGATATGAACAAGCTTATAATTATATTTTATACCGTCGAAATAAAACATGGAACATGATTATAAATATCTAAATAAATGTTGGTCCACAAAATAATCTAAAATATTATCCATATACTGATTTGAAGAATAAAAATGATCTGAACGATAGTTTTACCTGATTTTCTTAATGCAACCAAAATGATTACACGTTAATGTATAATGCTATAATGCAATTAAGTGACAAAAATTAATTTGAGAATTTTATTCGTTTTATTTTTATGTTATAACATTCCATGCAGCATAACATGAGCTGCTCGATCCTGCTGTTTTCAATTCATTGACGATCGTTTAACTCCACGATAACCTGGAGCAGCGACAGTAAGTAAAAGTTTAACTGTAACTAAGCAATCAATATTAATCAACTTTATTAATAATAAGTTCATACTCTGACTGGGTGATGATTCTTAAAGTTAAACTTTGAATTGGAACTGGAGGTTTACAAAAAGTTGTATTTTGTATATTTTTAAGATGCAACTGCGAGATGTTAGTTTGTATAACGAATAAAGATATCTAGATTAAATACTTTCATTCAACAAACCAACTACAAACTAGTACATAGTTATGTTATTTAATTTTATTACCTTGCTGCCTTTGTCTTTCTTACTTTTTCTATGCTTTCTATTCCATCCTGTCAGTTTACATTTATTTGCACAATGCAATAAGAATATTGCATTGTTATAATATGGAAATGTCACTACTATTATATTCATATTGCATTGTTATAATATGGAAATGTCACTACTATTTTATTCTATAATTGTAAACTTACTAAACTAAAATTTTTATCAGCAGTATGAAAGTACAATTTATGTTACGCCAAATTTATTCACCAATGTGGAAGTTATGTCATATGTGATAATTACCTTGCCGTTTCACAATTTCAGCTAAATCCCCGTCGGTAAGTTTATTTAATTCTTGGCTATCTGTATCCTCAACTTCTTCAACTTCTGCAATATCATAATATCATGATAAGTATGAAATGAATAGTGATAATTACAAAGTAATAAGTAAAGTCTTAGTTAGGATCAGCCGACCGAATACCGGACTAGCCGGATTCAGCCGGCTGAATCCGGTTCGATTTAACTTTAAGGAAGGCAATGGTCGAATATCAGTCGGAAATTTCAAAAAATTGTATTGGTTGGAAATTTCATTTATTGTTTTGGGTTCTCTGATCTCGAGACCTGAAAGAGATCTGATCTAAAAAGGCTACATTCCGGGTCCTTAGCATAGGATCACGTTGAATGGAAATCGTAAATTGCAAAACTTTTAGGTCACATTTTTTTTAATTTTCGGACATTTAGCCTTTAAAAATCGTTCAACGTGTTATACACAAAACCAACCTGCTGTCACAATAGCTAGAAAAAGGACAAAAAAAGCTAGACAAGCTAGACGCAACATCATTTACAAGAAACGAAAAGCAACGTACTGATTATTGATACTCAGTGTGTTGCAACTTACTAATCCAAGCGAGTTAGAGAGGGAGCGAGGGAGGAGCTATTGCCTATCAGCGACATCTTTTCGTGCTGTTATTACATATTAAGTTATTAATTTCGCTATTTTCTAACAATGTGTGAGATGAGACTAATAGCTGGTGATGATACTGAACTAGGCGTAGTTTATCTTCTAGAAAATTCGGGGAGAGAGGAAGAGAGGGAAGAAGGGAGGGAGGAAGGGAGAGGGAGGGAGGGAGAGAGGGAGAGAGGGAGAGAGGGAGGGAGGGAGGAATGGAGGGATAGAGGGAGGGAGAGAGGGAGGGAGGGAGGGATGGAGGGAGGGAGGGAGGGATGGATGGATGGATGGATGGATGGATGGATGGATGGATGGATGGATGGATGGATGGATGGATGGATGGATGGATGGATGGATGGATGGATGGATGGATGGATGGATGGATGGATGGATGGATGGATGGATGGATGGATGGATGGATGGATGGATGGATGGATGGATGGATGGATGGATGGATGGATGGATGGATGGAATAATTCCGTTTTGCGACAAGTGAAAATGCTCGTTTTCAATAACAGTCTTGCACAATAATCTAGACATCTCTTCAACGTTCAATTCTCAATGCATACAAATAACCAAAGTTTTAAAATGTAATTCTAAATATCATTTCTTTTGTTTAACTTTAACGTATATAAATGTGTTACAATTCACAGAAATGGCTCTATCAATGTAAAAATCCGTGCAAGCAAAACTACAATTACAAACTTTGTGGTTACCGTATCTAAAGCTACACAATGAAGGTTTGGAGAACGTAAAAACTAATTGTTCGTCATTATCTACCATTGAAATTTCATTTAACTTATCAAATATTTTGTTGGTATGAAATGCAAAAATTACCAACAATAAATCTCAAACCCCGAAATTGTACAACAAATATCAACTAATTAATCTTTTCGGACATTATTTAGTAGGACAGCGTCCACGTAATGTTCACTTTAATTGAAGTCCGACTGTCTTGAACGAGCAGAGAAATATTTGTGCCCATAATTGTCCGCAATGTCCGCCCAAAATTGTGTCTGTCTGCGCAATGTCCGCCCAAATAAGGTCCGATAAAGTAACTTTGAGTCTATTTCTTTTTTTGCTTTACCTTCGTTAACTTTCTGATAATTCACATCCTTGAAACGACACCACTTCAATCACAATACTCTCAACTGCGTTCCATTGAGTCAATTTAATTGGTTCACGTGACATGATGATGAAATCACGTGACATGATGATGATGTCACGTTTATTTGTATATCGTTACTGAAGCGATGTAATTATTGTTTGGCATCACTTCAACTATCACACTGTTGAAGCCGTAGCAGAAAGTAGGACCAAAAGGGTTTGTAGCATTCGTAGAGCTCCTCCGGTTTAGTACTACAGGTTTACTGAAAATATTTGGTTGTGTTTAGAAATTATCCGCTGAGTTGTTGGTGAAAGTTGCAGGATAATAATTTTGTGAATGGCCAGGGTAAAATCATTGAACAATGGTCTATTGTCCGCAGTAAATAATAACCGTGACGTGCGTTACTCGTGCGCTATGTTTCTACCGAATTACCGAATTGTCCGCAGTAAATAATAACCGTGACGTGCGTTACTCGTGCGCTTTGTTTCTACCGAATTACCGATAAATAAAATCAGCACCAACCTGTAATGTTCTCCAATTATTTCTTCTACTTTGTCCCATTTGGTAGTAGAGGTGACGCAGCATTTCGTATTAGCATCTAGCTCCAACTCCAACTCAAAACTACAAGAATAAGATAATAGTATGTCAAAATAATACAGCATTTGTTATAGAGTTGTAAAATAAATTAGAGATGAGGACGATAACGAATTGAGGCTGCGAAAAAAAACTAAGAAAGTCAACTTTTACTTTTAGAAATTAAGAAAAAATCAGGTCATTATACCACGTGATGTAGATAACCACGTGATCTTGAAAAACCACGTGATCTTGAAAAACCACGTGATCTTGAAAAACCACGTGATCTTGAAAAACCACGTGATCTTGAAAAACCACGTGGTCTTGAAAAACCACGTGATCTTGAAAAACCACGTGATCTTGAAAAACCACGTGATCTTGAAAAACCACGTGGTCTTGAAAAACCACGTGATCTTGAAAAACCACGTGATCTTGAAAAACCACGTGATCTTGAAAAACCACGTGATCTTGAAAAACCACGTGATCTTGAAAAACCACGTGATCTTGAAAAACCACGTGATCTTGAAAAACCACGTGATCTTGAAAAACCACGTGGTGGTAATAACTCACTAAGCTCTGTAGTAGATGTTAAAGTCGTAGTGACCCGGGTAGTTATTGTGTAAAACAAGCTTTGTAACGGTGTGTGTTTTACCATCAAACAGAATGTCTATTCCAAGGGTGAAATAGTTGTAGAAATAGTCCGACTCTTCTTTCTCCAGCTGAAAAGTTGTGTCGTTGAGATAGCCGCAGTTGTCGAAATGGAAGACTTTTTTTAGAGAGAGGCTGAATGGTCCACGATAGCACGAGGATGCTCTGCCTGCCTTTGAGGTTTAGCAACCTTGCTAGTTTAATTTCTTCTTAGTATCACGTTGATTGAATGAGTGACGATTTAAATCCTAACTAAGCTATAAACTAATTAACTAATTAACTAATAAGCTGTAAATTAACCTGCTTTTCAGGAGATTTAGAGTGTATCTTCATCTTATCCTCGTCCTTGTAGTATATCTTACAGGGCGCTCCCAAACTACTCATAACATCCTGACAACTCTCACCAAACTTGATCTCCTGGACCAGCGAGCCTTGTCTGACATCGTTCTGCTTGTTCGGACTACCTTACAAGCAATTAGTTATCGGTTACAGCGAGGGAACTTACAAAGTAAGAAAGTAGGGGGTGGACTCACAAAGTAGGGGAGTGGTAAAAATCAATTATCAATTAATTATTTAATTAATTGGCACCTGATTCGCCATAGAGCTCAACTTTAACACCACTGATTTGGCCGCTGTCATCTTTAACAAGTTCCACTTTTTCGCAATAACATTTGGACTGGTAACAAGATATAGGCAGGGATGGTGCCTTGGTTTCTGATGATATTTTAGAAATTGCTAGAAACATATAATCAGACGAGAAGACAGACACTGTTATAACTTTTAAATGTTATAACTTAAAAAGGTAATGAGAGTAGAAAATTGGTCAAAAAAGCGGTAAAACTAACCAGATAAAGTATTTCCCATGTAGATACAAAGCTTGCTAACCACAGGGGGGCCATTACTGAACTGCAGACTTCCCAGTCCGTGGGAATAGTTGTGTTCTAACTTGTCGTTACTCGGGAAGAAAAACGACAACCCTGAAAAAACATCTGATAGGAACCAGTGATACAACGAAGATGGTGTACGCAAAATCAGAAAAAAATGTAACCGTGAGTAAAGAGGTAAATTCTTCAACATAATTAAATAAACAATAATTAATAACAAACCTCTGAAGTTAAGAATGAACTGCTGATTAAATAAACAATAATTAATAACAAACCTCTAAAGTTAAGAAAGAACTGCTGATTAAATAAACAATAATTAATAACAAACCTCTGAAGTTAAGAATGAACTGCTGATTAAATAAACAATAATTAATAACAAACCTCTGAAGTTAAGAATGAACTGCTGATTAAATAAACAATAATTAATAAAAAACCTCTGAAGTTAAGAATGAACTGCTGATTAAATAAACAATAATTAATAACAAACCTCTGAAGTTAAGAATGAACTGCTGATTAAATAAACAATTATTAATAACAAACCTCTGAAGTTAAGAATGAACTGCTGGTTAAATAAACAATAATTAATAACAAACCTCTGAAGTTAAGAATGAACTGCTGATTAAATAAACAATAATTAATAACAAACCTCTGAAGTTAAGAATGAACTGCTGGTTAAATAAACAATAATTAATAACAAACCTCTGAAGTTAAGAATGAACTGCTGGTTAAATAAACAATAATTAATAACAAACCTCTGAAGTTAAGAATGAACTGCTGGTTAAATAAACAATAATTAATAACAAACCTCTGAAGTTAAGAATGAACTGCTGGTTAAATAAACAATAATTAATAACAAATCTCTGAAGTTAAGAATGAACTGCTGATTAAATAAACAATAATTAATAACAAACCTCTGAAGTTAAGAATGAACTGCTGATTAAATAAACGATAATTAATAACAAACCTCTGAAGTTAAGAATGAACTGCTGATTAAATAAACAATAATTAATAACAAACCTCTGAAGTTAAGAATGAACTGCTGATTAAGTAAACAATAATTAATAACAAACCTCTGAAGTTAAGAATGAACTGCTGATTAAGTAAACAATAATTAATAACAAACCTCTGAAGTTAAGAATGAACTGCTGATTAGCCGGGTCGAATACCCCCGGGTGAGTAGCCCCGAAGCTCATCTCTATCTGATCATTAGTGGGGGAGACGGTGGGGGAGTTGAAGTGTACCCCGCAATACTTCAGCTTTACCCTCTCCATGTTATAAACCTGTGAGGAAATGCGATAAGAACTTGGGGTAAAGACTGAATATTTATAAGATATGACTAAAAAACAATTTTTTAGTCATATCTTATCAATATTTAGTTTTTTGTTAATTATTTGATATTAAGTATACGCATCTCGATAATATTAATTAAGTCGCCCAGGACGTGCGAAATAGTAAAAATATAAACGTTGTTGTTGGATTTTAATTACCTCGATGATTTTCAGCCTCTGAGATATAGGATCGAATACAAGGCGTATTCCATCTTCAGTCATGTTCAATATAACGTCCATTGCCAGCGGATCATAGTCACAGTAACAAAGATGAATGTCTTTAATCTCCCGACACTGCCCTCGGAGTATTGATATAGCCTGGAAATAATCAACTGTTATTGACTTTCGGGAATCATCTTTGATATGTTGAGTATGTTAAATGTTAATGTAGCAGTGTTATTGTAAATAAGCTGCAGTAGATCGCTGAAGACTATAATTTGGTTTTTGGAGGTGAGTGAAAGGTGCACCGCGCCTGCCGACCGCGCGCGGCTATGTTATTGTCACAAGTAACAGAAAACGCTTTCTACGCAAAAATGTTAAATTTTGCTAGTACTAAAGCTGACTTGTACGGAAGGCGCGAACATGTCTGAACCTTGTCTATTTTATCCCCTACCTAGTATGATCGGTAAATGGTAATCCTCTCAAGTCTTACGTGTTATCTGTTGCCATTAGTAACGTTCAGAGAAATCAACTATATTGAGAAATTTCACGAGGATATTTATTAATTTCTCAATTGGAATGTGTCGAGACTACAGGTCTGCCGTCTGACACAACACGAAAATTTTGACCCCAAATTCAGAGGAATAGATACTTATTTATAAAAGGTATAAGAACATATACATTATACATAGCATGTGCCTTGCAGTGAATCGCCAAATGTTATAAATTTATAACAACAATGCCCGTGCCCATTTGACCACAATCTGAGGAGTAAATAGGCATGGGGTTGCCCACATTAAGTGTACCCCCCCGCCTCCCCCGCCCCCCATTTCTTGCCATTCATTAACAGTAACATTAAAGAAGAGATTAATACCACTACATACCTGGGAGATAGGCATTCCTAAAACAAGTTCCCACTGTTCATTTCCCAAATTGCGTTCTGGTACAACCTCTAGATCTAACATCCTACAATGTACAGGAATGTTAGCATTTATCTTTTCTATTTCTGTAAATAAATAGAAACAAATAAAAACAACAAAATATAAACAATTTTTTTTAAATGTTGAGTTATGTTTCTCTTCTCTATTTCCACATAATATTTAAACTTTTAAATAGGTTATGGAGAGGTTAATGCTGGTTTAAAATATTACTAAGTTAATTATGAATACTATGATTAAGCATGCTCAATTATATGGGTATGTTAATTAATCATCATTAAGAAACGAAAACGACGTATCTCGAGGCTACCTGCCTGTGACTCGACTAGTTGTGTGAATCTAGTTTCGGCTTTTTACGGCCATCCACAGGGGAGTATCACGTCAATAAATGTATTTAATTGTAGTTAACTATTGTTACTGCACTTGGACAATTACAAGGATTTTTATCATAATACTATAATATTAATTAACAGTAAAACGCAAATTTATCAGCAAGAATGAAAATCATTCTTGTTATATAGAGTTTAATTGAGTCTCATTTCTTGGATCTATTGAAATACACTTATTGAATGAAATGTTTATCAAATTGTTCATAATACACATTAATATCACAATTGTCTCATATTTGTATCAAGTCCCTTCTAAGTCGTTCTTATTCCTTTAGAGAGTCTTTAGTCGTGAGAAAACTCTTGAGCAGTGACATATCATAAACGTCGTAATTCCGTGTGCAATAGTAGAGCCATACATCTCGCTATCCCTCCAGGGCTCTACTATTGCACACGGAAAAGGATATTGGAAAATTAACAACTCTCACCTCCTAGATCAAAATTTTATTAACGAAATAAAGAAAATCTTTCATAATACAAAAGAAGATAGCTTTGATTCTTACAGGGGTCTTTGGGACGTTATAAAAATCAAAATAAAACAGTTTGGAATGTCCTTTGGTAAAAAGAAAAAAAAAGAAATCACAGTGAAAAAAGAAAAGTTAAAAAAAGATATTGAAGACTGTAAAAACGATTCGAATCTAGTTAACTGTACGATACTACAGAAGAAATTATTTGAAGCAGAGTTGGATTTAAATCATATTATAGACCAGGAGGTGAGAGGTGCAATTACCAGATCACGTGTGAAATGGACAGAGGAGGGGAGCGCTCGACTAAATACTTTTTTGGACTTGAAAAATCAAACGGCAAGAAAAAATGTATTAGTAAATTGATAGACAACGACGGAAATGAACTAACAGACCAGGATAACATCTCTAGTCACGTGGTTAACTTTTATCAGAATCTGTATAACTCAACTAACCCATCTCCCACTGAGATAGATAATTATGTAACCAGCAGCGAGCTTGAGCAAATCCCACAGGAAATTACTGAAACTCTGGAGGGACCTATTTCATTACACGAAATGGATGCTATTGTGAACAAGTTAACAAACAATAAATCCCCAGGTTGGGACGGGTTATCTGCTGAATTTTATAAAACCTTTTGGTTGGATATCAGGCAGATTATTTACGACTGCTATGTAGAATCTATTGACAGTGGATGCCTGTCGCCTTCGCAGAGAATAGGTATTCTTACTCTTATTCCCAAGCCTAAAAGCCCAGTGGAACTTAACTACATAAAAAATTGGAGACCTATTACTCTGCTAAACATTGACTATAAAATCTTCACACATATAGCTAAGAATAGGATTATGAAGGCTATCCCTAGCATAATCAGCAACACCCAGTCAGGCTTTCAAGCAGGCAGGAGTACAGCAGATAATCTTATTCTCATGTCAATGGTTCTGGAATCATTTAATAACGACTCGGAACAAGAGGGTCTCCTTTTACAGATTGATTTTGAAAAGTGTTTTGACTCGGTAGAACATAACTTTGTCTTCAGTACGCTTGAAAAATTAGGTTTCAGTGATTATATTATTAAGTTGATTAAAGTGGCTTTTTAAGCGTGCTTTAGCTATGCAAATATTAATGGGTTTTTAAGCGCACCTATTTATCTCCTCAGAGGTCTTCATCAGGGTAGCCCACTCTCTCCTATTCTATTTCTACTTGTGGCTCAAACATTCTCGAATAAACTTCAGATCAACCCTAATATCAGGGGTATTAACATATCGGGTGTGGAAATTCTACAGAGTCTCTTTGCAGACGACACTGATCTGTTTCTGAAAGCTTCAATAGAGAAAGTAGAGGCAGTTATGGTAGAACTCAGAACGTTTGCTAAGTGCTCGGGGTGTAAAGCTAACATCGACAAAACTAGATGTATTCCATTAGGTCGTGCTCGCCTTAATACAACTCTTCTAGCGTCCCTTCAAATGAACTACGGCGATGATTTTATTACAAACAACTTTACGGCTTTGGGTATAGTTTATAGGAATGATGGCTCACTTATGGATATAGTCAACAGTAATTATAATGATAAATTGATTAAGGTTCGGTCTTGGATTAACAGGTGGAACAAGAGGGATCTGACGGTAATGGGTAAATGTACGGTTATCAAAACTCTCCTCTTTTCCCAATTAACATACCTGGTTCCTCCTCTCCCCAGACCAGATGCTTCCTTTATCAGAACTTTTGACACGACTATATTCCATTTTCTTTGGGGTTGCAAACGGGATAAAATAAAACGTGAAATCATAACCCGAAACAAGGAACATGGAGGCCTGGGACTATTTTATTTATCCGATTTTATTATAGGTCTTAAAACTAATCTTATTTCAAAGCTACTACATGATTCCTTTCGCCACACTTGGAAAGATATTATGATTATGCAACTGAAATTTCCCGAGCACATCACCATCTCTGTAGAAAACGGTCTCGCTAATATCAACTGTAATTTTACACAGGACGTACTTAATTGCTACACTGAGTGGAAGATTAGTTCGGCTAATGCAGCCTTGGGTTCTATTGATCACTGTGTGTGGTCCAACCCAGAAATAACTGACATCGGGTCCAAACTTTGGAACAATCATCTTATTGATAAGGGAATATTTTACATCTCAGATTTCCTTTCTATAGATCAAAGTACACTCCTTAACTACGATATGTTCATGAACAAGTGGGAGCTGTCTCCGAATACGATTTCCAAAATTGATTACTGTAACATTATCATGGGGATACGGAGATATAACTGTCCCACGATTAACTCAAGGAATATCGAATTTGTTGACCCGAATATAAAACTTCAATTTTTACATTCTGCAACTGGGCAGGTGAAGGGAAGCAAAATTCGGGATAAAATGTACGATTCTATTTGCCCAAACGAGCTGTCTCCTTTACGTCAGAGGGTTATCGACTTGAACAGTCAAGCCATCGACTGGGCAATCGTTCTAAGCAATCTGTTTTTCTTAGTATCTAAAAACTTTAAGTTGATTCAATTTCACTACAAACTTTTAATGAGGATCACAACTTGTAGATACATGAGACATAAGATGAAAATTGTTACAGATACTCCCATGTGTAGCCTGTGTAAAACATATTTAGAAACTATTCCTCATATTTACCTCCATTGTATTCACACAAATAGCTTCATCACAATACTTGAAGACTTTATTAAAGGAAAATCGATAGAAATTACGAAGATCCCACTAAAATTAATTTTATAGTCTGTAATCACACTTCACAAATTATAAATTATTTTAATATCGTTGCCAAATGGTACATTAGCAAAAAATTTCAGGCAGGAGACTTGCTGATCTGGCAAGGGTATATCAAACTTCTTAAGCTATCACTTCAAGGAGATAAAATAGGTCACAAAAGTTCTATTGTGTCGATCTTGGCCGATTAGGGTAATATGTCCACTCCATTTTTATTGCTGTCTATGTTATTTAATTTTTATCGGTTATTGTTACAATCTTGCAGTACTACTAGTAGCTGTCTTTTTGTAGTACATGCCCTGCTTCCTTCCTTTCCTAAATTTCTTACAAGCTCCTCCAGCCTCCTCTCTTACACCCTTTTCACTCACTTCATTTCACTCATTCACTTTATATTTTATTACCACAGTATCTGCCAAAACCAACATGGCCTAAGTAGAAAGGGGCCTTGACGTTGTTTCCCGCTTGGCCCTGCATCCAAAGCTGACGGTAGGCCTCCACTCTAAAAAAACTTACCTTCAGTGAAGGCCGATGGTCAACAATTAGCAATGTAATAGCTTGGCGGGTACAAATCCTGACCTCCTTTTACACCTTTGGGACGACTTTCGCAAATGCGAGAGGAATGACCCCGAGGAGGGCTCCATTGGTTTTAGAAGTTGCATATTTAAAAATTTAAAAAATTTAAAAAAATTTTTTTTTTTTTTAAATATGAAAATGAGAACTTCTATTTTATGAATATAATGTGTACAATACCACTGAAAAAATGAACAAATTTGAATATAAAATCATTGACTTTAAAACTTAAACAGCAAACTAAAAAAACAGCTGAATTTGAAATAACCTCAGAACTGTAACATGTATATATATATAGGTACCATCAATTCCATAATTCATAAACTAGCTGAAGATTATCAACAAAACAATATTTACAATAATAAAAAGATTTAAACTAAGTAGAAACTACTCTATCTGATATATTCAATAAGATAATAAAGTAACAGCTTAATATCTTGGTACACTTAATGTGTGCAATAATAAGCTTTTAATATCAGAGTACTGGACACGAGAGTAGAAACCATTGAGTACGGTACAGAGCGTTCGTAATGATAAGTTAACATTGCGTTAATTTTGCCCACTTTGTAGTCTGTTATACATAAACTGTGAGTCGCCTGGTAAACAGGGCTTTAAAACCATAAAATACACAACTGTGTCCATTATAAATCAACAGAGTAAGGAGCCTAGAGTTGAACTTGTTGTGCTGGGTAAGGCACCTGAGCTTGAACCGGTTGTGCTGGGTAAGGTACCTGAGCTTGAACCGGTTGTGCTGGGTAAGGTACCTGAGCTTCAACCGGTTGTGCTGGGTAAGGTACCTGAGCTTCAACCGGTTGTGCTGGATAAGGTACCTGAGCTTGAACCGGTTGTGCTGGGTAAGGTACCTGAGCTTCAACCGGTTGTGCTGGGTAAGGTACCTGAGCTTCAACCGGTTGTGCTGGGTAAGGTACCTGAGCTTCAACCGGTTGTGCTGGGTAAGGTACCTGAGCTTGAACCGGTTGTGCTGGATAAGGCACCTGAGCTTGAACCGGTTGTGCTGGGTAAACTTGGTTTGGTTGAGCAGGAACTTGTGGCTGAAACTGTACCATTCTTGGGTTAACAGAGCTACGGCTGCAACACTCACATAACTTGGCTCTTACCGCGGCAAATATGAGAGATGCGATCAGTAGAGCAACAACCACTGGGACAACTGTAAAACCAGCAATTGCCATAGATGGTTCACGTTCCCAGTAGGGATATTCATAATAATAATCATCATAACCGGACTTCTTGCGTATGTAAGCTACATTTCCTTTCAACTGTCCAAGTCCGTTGCCACCAACAATGCACGATATTGTTCGACCAGAATCCAAAGCACATATACGGTCAACATATACAAAGGACTCTGTGATTCCCTTATGTGGAGAGTGCCGATTCTCCGAATAGTTGAAACATCGCCAAATATCTTGAGAATTCAACTCCGCCAAGGGAACACCAGAACCACTCTCAGGGTAAATACCAGTAGACCACTGTAGCTCCCCACCGGTAGCAACACACTGCAACAACATCTTATCTTTCAGCCCTTTCGTGTAAAACTTCTGAAAGTACTCTATTTTTGTGTTCTGTTTGATGCTTGTGTCGTTTACATTGTAAAGGGTTATGGTTTGCAGTGAACTGCCTCTATTGTTGTAGTAGTCATCTGTCTTCTCTTCCTCGTCTACTGTGTGATGTGAAAAGTTACATGTGTATTTCCCAAAGTCAGCTGCAACCACACCTTTGATTGTTAGGGATGATGCGTAACAAGCCATTTCTCTGCTAGCATAGTAATTTTTGTCGCCTGAGTTCATTTCAACGATGGGTCCGAATCCTTTTATTAAATCTGTTGTCCATTCAAAGTTTTCACAGTAGTCGTACGTGATGATAGACTTTGTATCATATTTCCAATTTCTTGTATCAATCTTTTCACCATCTTTCAACCACATGTGGTAACAGCCGTCACTCCAGGATGGGCTACATTGACGGGAAGTCATTTCCATGTCAGATTCTGACCTCTCAAATATTTTTGTACATCTCAACTGAACATCTTCACCCAGGTGTTCGACCGGAACTCTCTGTAAAGCTGTGTGGGCCAGATCGTCGGAATCGGGGTAGGTACTAGGTTGCCAGGAACCATTAACTACATACAGTGTAACTAGTATTATCTGGAAGAACAAGTGTGCCAACATCTACTTTCCTAGTCACATCCGTTCCTAAAGTATATGGTTACATTATGGTTAGTTCATACTGTTTGGTTACATTTAAACAATATATTATGGTTTGGAAAGGACATCCAATTGTCACCTTAATATTTCAATACATGCTTGGGGAGTATCATAACATTATATATTCTAATACTCCAAGCAACTTTATGGAAGGGGGTTGTTCAAAACATATTAGTGATACGAAATAATTTTATTGAATATTTTAAAGTGTTAATCTTGTTTTCTTGCACTATACTAGGTAGGGGAGAGTAACTGGGTTTTTGGCTCATAACACGACCATTTTTTGTCCAAACTGGATGTAAATTCGTGTATGAGTTCAGGGGATTAAAAAAGGCTTATCTTGGAAATCTAAACAGAGAATTTAGCTCGACTAATTCTTAAATTATGTGTATACAAAAGTATGTATATTAAAATGTAGGGTTTTTTTCCGATTTGAGGGCAGGGATATACTTTAATGTACTTTGATATGGAAAGGTTGATGCTGGTTTAAAATATTAATAAGTTAATTATGAATGCTATGATTAAGCATGCTCAATTATTTGGGTATGTTAATTAATCATCATTAAGAAACGAAAACGACGTATCTCGAGGCGACCTGCCTGTGAATCGACTAGTTTAGGCTTTTTACAGCTTTTTACGGCCATCACAAAGGATCCACGTCAATAAATTTATTTAATTGTAGTTTTTATTAAAACTTTAGTAACTGCACTTGGACAATTACAAGGAGTTGGATCATAATATTAATTAACAGTAAAACGCAAATTTATCAGCAAGAATGAAAATGAGAACTTCTATTTTATCAATATAATGCAAATACAATACCACTGAAAATATCAATGAAACAAGAAATTTCAATGAAACAAGAAATTTAATTTTTGCACATTTTTACAGAATAAAAAGATGTAAAACAATTCATAAAATATAATGCCCATTTGGTGTATGACTTTTTGTCCTGACTGCTAGTTTGGTTTAAGAAGGACAGGTAACTAACGGGGCAAGGAATGTGCGTGCCTGGAAGCTTTTGCACACACCGAAACGCTAGTTCAGTTAAGGTTTTAGAGACAAGGCTCAGATTAGGACTAGGGGGTTCATTAGGGGTTCTGTTTATAATTGTTACTATAGGTTGCAGTCTTGTTGTGACAAAAAGTCTACACTAAAACATGATTTAGTTTATATTTAGGATATAAAATGCAGCTTCAAGGTGGATATTGGAGAGCTGGAATATGAACAAATTTGAATATAAAATCATTGACTTTAAAACTTAAACAGCAAACTAAAAAAACAGCTCAATTTGAAATAACCTCAGAACTGTAACATGTATATAGGTACCATCAATTCCATAATTCATAAACTAACTGAAGATTATCAACAAAACAATATTTACAATAATAAGAAGATTTAAACTAAGTAGAAACTACTCTATCTGATATATTCAATAAGATAATAAAGTAACAGCTTATTATCTTGGTACACTTAATGTGTGCAATAATTAGCTTTTAATATCAGAGTACTGGACACGAGAGTAGGAACCATTGAGTACGATACAGAGCGTTCGTAATGATAAGTTAACATGGCGTTAATTTTGGCCCACTTTGTAGTTTGTAGCCTGTTATACATAAACTGTGAGTAATTGCCTGGTAAACAGTGCTTTAGAACCATCAAATACACAACCGTGTCCAATATAAACTAACAGAGTAAGTAGCCTAGAGTTGAACTTGTTGTGCTGGGTAAGGTACCTGAGCTTGAACTTGTTGTGCTGGATAAGGTACCTGAGCTTGAACCGGTTGTGCTGGATAAGGCACCTGAGCTTGAACTTGTTGTGCTGGATAAGGCACCTGAGCTTGAACCGGTTGTGCTGGATAAGGCACCTGAGCTTGAACCGGTTGTGCTGGATAAGGTACCTGAGCTTGAACCGGTTGTGCTGGGTAAACTTGGTTTGGTTGAGCAGGAACTTGTGGTTGAAACTGTACCATTCTTGGGTTAACAGAGCTACGGCTGCAACACTCACATAACTTGGCTCTTACCGCGGCAAATATGAGAGATGCGATCAGTAGAGCAACAACCACTGGGACAACTGTAAAACCAGCAATTGCCATAGATGGTTCACGTTCCCAGTAGGGATATTCATAATAATAATCATCATAACCGGACTTCTTGCGTATGTAAGCTACATTTCCTTTCACCTGTCCAAGTCCGTTGCCACCAACAATGCACGATATTGTTCGACCAGAATCCAAAGCACATATACGGTCAACATATACAAAGGACTCTGTGATTCCCTTATGTGGAGAGTGCCGATTCTCCGAATAGTTGAAACATCGCCAAATATCTTGAGAATTCAACTCCGCCAAGGGAACACCAGAACCACTCTCAGGGTAAATACCAGTAGACCACTGTAGCTCCCCACCGGTAGCAACACACTGCAACAACATCTTATCTTTCAGCCCTTTCGTGTAAAACTTCTGAAAGTACTCTATTTTTGTGTCCTGTTTGATGCTTGTGTCGTTTACATTGTAAAGGGTTATGTATTGCAGTGAACTGCCTCCATTGTTGTAGTAGCCGTCCTCGTCTACTGTGTGATGTGAAAAGTTACATGTGTATTTCCCAAAGTCAGCTGCTACCACACTTTTGATGGTTAGGGATGATGCGTAACAAGCCATTTCTCTGCTAGCATAGTAATTTTTGTCGCCTGAGTTCATTTCAACGATGGGGCCGAATCCTTTTATTAAATCTGTTGTCCATTCAAAGTTTTCACAGTAGTCGTACGTGATGATAGACTTTGTATCATATTTCCAATTTTCTGTATCAATCTTTTCACCATCTTTCAACCACATGTGGAAACAGCCGTCACTCCAGGATGGGTCACATTGACGGGAAGTCATTTCCATGTCAGATTCTGACCTCTCAAATATTTTAGTACACCTCAACTGAACATCTTGACCCAGGTGTTCGACCGGAACTCTCTGTAAAGCTGAGTGGGCCAGATCGTCTGAATCGGGGTAGGTACTAGGTTGCCAGGAACCATTAACTACATACAGTGTAACTAGTATTATCTGGAAGAACAAGTGTGCCAACATCTACTTTCCTAGTCACATCCGTTCCTAAAGTATATGGTTACATTATGGTTAGTTCATACTGTTTGGTTACATTTAAACAATATATTATGGTTTGGAAAGGACATCCAATTGTCACCTTAATATTTCAATACATGCTTGGGGAGTATCATAACATTATATATTCTAATACTCCAAGCAACTTTATGGAAGGGGGTTGTTCAAAACATATTAGTGATACGAAATAATTTTATTGAATATTTTAAAGTGTTAATCTTGTTTTCTTGCACTATACTAGCTTACTAGGTAGGGGAGAGTAACTGGGTTTTTGGCTCATAACACGACCATTTTTTGTCCAAACTGGATGTAAATTCGTGTATGAGTTCAGGGGATTAAAAAAGGCTTATCTTGGAAATCTAAACAGAGAATTTAGCTCGACTAATTCTTAAATTATGTGTATACAAAAGTATGTATATTAAAATGTAGGGTTTTTTTCCGATTTGAGGGCAGGGATATACTTTGATGTACTTTGATATGGAAAGGTTGATGCTGGTTTAAAATATTAATAAGTTAATTATGAATGCTATGATTAAGCATGCTCAATTATTTGGGTATGTTAATTAATCATCATTAAGAAACGAAAACGACGTATCTCGAGGCGACCTGCCTGTGAATCGACTAGTTTAGGCTTTTTACAGCTTTTTACGGCCATCACAAAGGATCCACGTCAATAAATTTATTTAATTGTAGTTTTTATTAAAACTTTAGTAACTGCACTTGGACAATTACAAGGAGTTGGATCATAATATTAATTAACAGTAAAACGCAAATTTATCAGCAAGAATGAAAATGAGAACTTCTATTTTATCAATATAATGCAAATACAATACCACTAAAAATATCAATGAAACAAGAAATTTCAATGAAACAAGAAATTTAATTTTTGCACATTTTTACAGAATAAAAAGATGTAAAACAATTCATAAAATATAATGCCCATTTGGTGTATGACTTTTTGTCCTGACTGCTAGTTTGGTTTAAGAAGGACAGGTAACTAACGGGGCAAGGAATGTGCGTGCCTGGAAGCTTTTGCACACACCGAAACGCTAGTTCAGTTAAGGTTTTAGAGACAAGGCTCAGATTAGGACTAGGGGGTTCATTAGGGGTTCTGTTTATAATTGTTACTATAGGTTGCAGTCTTGTTGTGACAAAAAGTCTACACTAAAACATGATTTAGTTTATATTTAGGATATAAAATGCAGCTTCAAGGTGGATATTGGAGAGCTGGAATATGAACAAATTTGAATATAAAATCATTGACTTTAAAACTTAAACAGCAAACTAAAAAAACAGCTCAATTTGAAATAACCTCAGAACTGTAACATGTATATAGGTACCATCAATTCCATAATTCATAAACTAACTGAAGATTATCAACAAAACAATATTTACAATAATAAGAAGATTTAAACTAAGTAGAAACTACTCTATCTGATATATTCAATAAGATAATAAAGTAACAGCTTATTATCTTGGTACACTTAATGTGTGCAATAATTAGCTTTTAATATCAGAGTACTGGACACGAGAGTAGGAACCATTGAGTACGATACAGAGCGTTCGTAATGATAAGTTAACATGGCGTTAATTTTGGCCCACTTTGTAGTTTGTAGCCTGTTATACATAAACTGTGAGTAATTGCCTGGTAAACAGTGCTTTAGAACCATCAAATACACAACCGTGTCCAATATAAACTAACAGAGTAAGTAGCCTAGAGTTGAACTTGTTGTGCTGGGTAAGGTACCTGAGCTTGAACTTGTTGTGCTGGATAAGGTACCTGAGCTTGAACCGGTTGTGCTGGATAAGGTACCTGAGCTTGAACCGGTTGTGCTGGATAAGGTACCTGAGCTTGAACCGGTTGTGCCGGGTAAGGTACCTGAGCTTGAACCGGTTGTGCTGGATAAGGTGCCTGAGCTTGAACCGGTTGTGCTGGGTAAACTTGGTTTGGTTGAGCAGGAACTTGTGGTTGAAACTGTACCATTCTTGGGTTAACAGAGCTACGGCTGCAACACTCACATAACTTGGCTCTTACCGCGGCAAATATGAGAGATGCGATCAGTAGAGCAACAACCACTGGGACAACTGTAAAACCAGCAATTGCCATAGATGTTTCACGTTCCCAGTAGGGATATTTATCATCATAAACATAATAATCGGACATCCTGCGTATGTAAGCTACATTTCCTTTCACTTTTCCAAGTCCGGTGTCACCAACAATGCACGATATGCGACCATAATCAAATGCACATATATGGTCAACATATACAAAGGACTCTGTGATTCCCTTATGCGGAGAGTGCCGATTCTCCGAATAGTTGAAACATCGCAAAAAATCCTGAGAATTCAACTCCGCCAAGGGCACACCAGAACCACTCTCACAGTAGAAAGTCGGGTCGTAACACGTGTCGTTTTCAAAGGGATTAACATACCACTGTAGCTCCCCACTGGTTACAACACACTGCAACAACATCTTATCTTTCAGCCCTTTCGTGTAAAACTTCTCAAAGTACTCTACTTTTCTGTTCTGTTGGATGCTTGTGTCGTTTACATTGTAAAGGGTTATGTTTTGCAGTGAACTGCCACCTCTGTTGTAGTAGCCGTCCTCGTCTACTGTGTGATGTGAAAAGTTACATGTGTATTTCCCAAAGTCAGCTGCAACCACACTTTTGATTGTTAGGGATGATGCATAACAAGCCATTTCTCTGCTAGCATAGTCATTTTTGTCGCCTGAGTTTATGTCAACGATGGGGCCGAATCCTTTTATTAAATCTGTTGTCCATTCAAAGTTTTCACAGTAGTCGTACGTGATGATGGACTTTGTATCATATTTCCAATTTTCTGTATCAATCTTTTCACCATCTTTCAACCACATGTGGAAACAGCCATTCATCCAGGATGGGTCACATTGACGAAAAGTATATGCGCTACTGTCCCCCTCCGATTCAGATTTTGACCTCTCAATTATTTTAGTACATCTCAACTGAACATCTTGACCCAGGTGTTCGACCGGAACTCTCTGTAAAGCTGTGTGGGCAAAATAGTCTGTAGCGGGGTAGGTACTAGGTTTCCAGTAACCATTAACTACATACAGTGTAACTAGTATTATCTGGAAGAACAAGCGCACCAACATCTACTTTCCTAGTCACATCCGTTCCTAAAATATAGGTTACATTATCATGACCCACCAAATGAATGAATGGTTACATTATGATTAGCTCATACTGTTTGGTTACATTATAACAACTAGCAGGAACCCGTATAACCCTAAAATGGTGTCAAGACTGAAGAGACTAAAATAATTATGACCTATTTAATTCGCGTTTTTGACACCACTTGGGGATCCAAATTTTGGGCTCTAAAACTCCTATTTCTTGGCCTATTTTTTATTTTTTATGCTGATTTGGAGGCCATTAAAACATTTGACCCAGTCAAAAAAGTTTCAGTTCTATATCTTTTACGGTTTTGTGGAAATTCGCGTTAAAGTTGATGCCGTTGTGTCAGTAAAATGGTACGGAACCCCCATATATATCGTCTCGCTTTATATAATATAGTAAGATATATATCATGGTTTGGAAAGGACATCTAATTGTCAGCTTAATATTTCAATAAATGCTTCGATCATCATTTTAAACAGGCTACTGCAGCTGAGGAGTATCTTAACATTATATTATATATTCTAATGCTCCGAGCAACTTTATGGAAGGGGGTTGTTTAAAACATATTAGTGATACGAAATGTTCTTATTGAATATTTTAAAGTGAATCTTGTTTACTAGCACTATACTAGGTAGGGGAGAGTAACTGGGTTTTTGGCTCATAACACGGCCATTTTTTGTCCAAACTGGATGTAAATTCGTGTATGAGTTCAGGGGACTAAAAAAGGCTTATCTTGGAAATCTAAACGAAGAATATAGCTAGACTAATTCTTGAATTATGTGTATTATATAAAAGTATGTATATGAAAATGTAGGTTTTTTCCGATTTGAGGGCAGGGATATATACTTTAATGTACTTGGATATGGAGAGGTAAATGCTAGTTTAAAATATTACTAAGTTAATTATGAATGCTATGATTAAGCATGCCCAATTATTTGGGTATGTTAATTGATGATCATGAAGAAACGAAAACGACGTATCTCGAGGCGACCTGCCTGTGAATCGACTAGTTTAGGCTTTTTACGGCCATCACAAGGGATCCACGTCAATAAATATATTTAATTGTAGTTAACTATAATAGTAACTGCACTTGGACAATTACAAGGATTTTGATCATAATATTAATTAACAGTAAAACGCAAATTTATCAGCAAGAATGAAAATGAGAACTTCTATTTTATCAATATAATGTGTACAATACCACTGAAAAAATGAACAAATTTGAATATAAGATCATTGACTTTAAAACTAAAACAGCAAACTAAAAAACAGCTCAATTTGAAATAACCTCGAACTGTAACATGTATATTTTGCTTTCGGATTTCTGTACCATCATTTTCTCGAGCATCCCCCAATATTAGGGATCTTATATCTAGGTATATATCAGTACATATTTGTACATATTAGTTCATATTACTATTAGTACAATATATTAGTACATATTACTAGTACAGATTATTATTACATATTAGTACATATAATTTATAACATATAACTGGTACATATCAAATTTTTTTCCCGTTACAGTTCCTACTTAACTACGTTTATAAATTTTATAGACCAATGCTAAAATTTAAACTGATTGAAATAAACAACATGAAGAATCTTTAAATTACAGAACTTAATATTTAACATCTGAAATTTACATCAAAAGAGTACTTGAAGCTAATAATTTATCTAATATTTAAAGGTTTTAACCAATTGAACACTCAATTATGACAGTAGAAAATCTGAAGTCGTAGCAGAACAAATTCAATTCCATAATTTCTAAACTAGCTGAAGATTATCAACAAAACAATATTTACAATAATAAGAAGATTTAAACTAAGTAGAAACTACTCTATCTGATATATTCAATAAGATAATAAAGTAACAGCTTATTATCTTGTTACACTTAATGGGGGCAAATAATTAGCTTTTAATATCAGAGTACTGGACACGAGAGTAGAAACCATTGAGTACGGTACAGAGCGTTCGTAATGATAAGTTAACATTGCGTTAATTTTGCCCAATTTGTAGCCTGTTATACATAAACTGTGAGTCGCCTGGTGAACAGTGCTTTACACCCATCAAATATACAACCGTGTCCATTATAAACTAACAGAGTAAGGAGTCTAGAGTTGAACTTGTTGTGCTGGGTAAGGTACCTGAGCTTGAACTTGTTGTGCTGGGTAAGGCACCTGAGCTTGAACTTGTTGTGCTGGATAAACTTGGTTTGGTTGAGCAGGGTAAGGAACTTGTGGCTGAAACTGTACCATTCTTGGGTTAACAGAGTTACGGCTGCAACACTCACATAACTTGGCTCTTACCGCGGCAAATATGAGAGATGCGATCAGTAGAGCAACAACCACTGGGACAACTGTAAAACCAGCAACTGCCATAGATGATTCACGTTCCCAGCTATACCGATAATAATCATCAAAATAATAATCGGACTTCTCACGTATGTAAGCTACATTTCCTTTCACTTTTCCAAGTCCGGTGCCACCAACAATGCACGATATTCGACCATAATCCAATGCACATATACGGTCAACATATACAAAGGACTCTGTGATTCCCTTATGTGGAGAGTGCCGATTCTCCGAATAGTTGAAACATCGCCAAAAATCCTGAGAATTCAACTCCGCCAAGGGCACACCAGATCCAGACTCACAGTAAATACCAGAACACGTGTCGTTTTCAAAGGGATTAACATACCACTGTAGCTCCCCACCGGTAACAACACACTGCAACAACATCTTATCTTTCAGCCCTTTCGTGTAAAACTTCTCAAAGTACTCTATTTTTGTGTTCTGTTTGATGCTTGTGTCGTTTACATTGTAAAGGGTTATGTTTTGCAGTGAACTGCCTCCATTGTTGTAGTAGTCATCCTCGTCTACTGTATGATGTGAAAAGTTACATGTGTATTTCCCGAAGTCAGCTGCTACCACACTTTTGATGGTTAGGGATGATGCGTAACAAGCCATTTCTCTGTTAGCATAGTAATTTTTGGCACCTGAGTTTATGTCAACTATGGGGCCAAATCCTTTTATTAAATCTGTTGTCCATTCAAAGTTTTCACAGTAGTCGTAGGTGATGATGGACTTTGTATCATATTTCCAATTTGTTGTATCAATTTTTTCACCATCTTTCGACCACATGTGGAAACAGCCGTCACTCCAGGATGGGTCACATTGACCGGAAGTCTCATCATAGTCAGATTGTGACCTCTCAAATATTTTAGTACATCTCAACTGAACATCTTGACCCAGGTGTTCGACCGGAACTCTCTGTAAAGCTGTGTGGGCCAGATAGGGGGAATCTGGGGGTCCTGGAGTAGGGTCACTAGGTTGCCAGGAACCACTAATTTTTTTACTTTTTACATACAGTGTAACTAGTATTATCTGGAAGAACAAGCGCACCAACATCTACTTCCTAAAGTATATATATGGTTACATTATGACCCACCAGATGAATGAATGGTTACATTATGATTAGTTCATACTGTTTGGTTACATAAAAATATATATCATGGTTTGGAAAGGACTTAATATTTCAATAAATGCTTCGATCATCATTTTAAACAGAATATTACATCTGAGGAGTATCTTAACATTATCTATACAATATTTTAAATTTGACGAAATTTCCCCGGCAACGGGCACATAGAAGAAAATACACCGAAAATCGACCTCAAAATGACCCTCTGGTGAAGCCAAACCCAGCTCGCAAATGGAGTTGAAACCTCGCCATTTTTAGCAGGGTTGTAGAAAAAGGATAGGAATAGGCTATAGCATTCTTAGAATTTTGATTTAGGCTTTAGATTTTTTATAATTAACGTCGGAAGTGAGGTTAAATAATCGTTAGAATAATGGCGTTATTTTAAGGTTTACTGCGCTGTTGCGTAGCAACGATAAAAATGCACGTGCGCGAGCAAGAACATCTTAACTACGCGCGTTGTTATGCTGTATGCTACGTCATAACTTCAAAACTAGCTCACATTTACGCTCACGCTATGACTTATATTCATAACTTTGGTTGTGATTGGTATTTTTTGATGCGGTAAAAAGTATCGTTTTGGGAATCCGAATACTAACAACGCTGTCGCCATTGTTAAATAAATTCCATTATGTCTACTGTATAACAGAGCTGTATCATGAAGAGAAATTAAAACATAACTGATTTTTAAAATTTCCTCGAACAAAGCTTTCGACTAGCGGGTTTCTAGTATTATATATTCTAATGCTCCAAGCAACTAAATGGAAGGGGGATGTTTAAAACATATTAGTGTTACGAACAGTGGCGTAACGTAGCCTGTTGGCGCCCCCCCCCCCCCCCCCCCCCCCCCCCCCTCTGCTGAAAAAGCGCCCCCTCCCCTTTTGGTGCCCCTCCCTAAAATTGAACAAATTAGGTGATTTCAGAGGATACGCCGGTAAAATCTCTAAAAAAGTGTGTATCTAGAGCAAAACGCGCAGTTTTGCTAGTACTTTAGTTAAGTTTTCGAAATTGCCCCACATTCAAATGACGATTTGGCGCCCACCTAAGATCTCTAAAAAAGTGTGTATCTAGAGCAAAACGCGCAGTTTTGCTAGTACTTTAGTTAAGTTTTCGAAATTGTCCCACATTCAAACGACGATTTGGCGCCCACCTAAGACGTCCCCCCCCCCACCCCCCCCCCCCCCCAGCGGGGTCAGCGGGGCCCTTCGTGGCTAGTGACCGCAAACTTTGGAGGGAGATGATACATCACAAACGGGAGTTCATTGGTGCAGGCCACTCGAATGATTGAGGAGACCTAATCAAGTACAAGTAAGTAAGTATACTAGGTAGGGGAGAGTAACTGGGTTTTTGGCTCATAACACAGGCATTTTTTGTCCAAACTGTATGTAAATTCGTGTATGAGTTCAGGGGACTAAAAAAAGGATGATCTTGGAAATCTAAACGAAGAATATAGCTCGACTAATTCTTAAATTATGTACATATTATATAAAAGTATGTATACATGTATATTATGTATTAAAATGTAGGGTTTTTTTCTGATTTGAGGGCAGGGAAATACTTTAATGTACTTTGATATGGAAAGGTTGATGCTGGTTTAAAATATTACTAAGTTAATTATGAATGCTATGATTAAGCATGCTCAATTATTTGGATATGTTAAGGGGGCAGGGGGGGGGTCTTCATGGAAATTTTCTCAAAATCGACTTTTTAGTTGTTTCTGATAGAGGGGAGTGATATCTATCAGATGCTTTTAATCCGATAGAAAAATATTGTTCCTAGCCGAAATTATTGCCGGTAAAAGGTCAGCGCTTGTGTGTAATTGTATTGCGCGAGCGATTTTTGATCGTGTGCCCTGAAAATCGAGTCTAAAAATCTATCTCCTCCTACATTTTTTGAGCAATCACCCTCAAACTTTCAGTATATGTTCTAAGGATCATTTAGAAGAGATTGTCCAGGCAAAATTTTGAGATAGGCCTTTAAACATTTTTTATTCGATTTTAAAAATCTTAGACCTGGTTTTTTGACGATTTTTCGAGGTCCAAGATTTTTAAAATTGAATAAAAAATGTTTAAAGGCCTATCTCAAAATTTTGCCTGGACAATCTCTTCTAAATGATCCTTAGAACATATTCTGAAAGTTTGAGGTTGATTGCTCAAAAAATGTAAGAGAAGATAGATTTTTAGACTCGATTTTCAGGGCACGCGATCAAAAATCGCTCGCGCAATACAATTACACATAAGCGCTGACCTTTTACCGGCGATAATTTCGGCTAGGAACAATATTTTTCTATTGGATTAAAAGCATCTGATAGATATCACTCCCCTCTATCAGAAACAACTAAAAAGTCGATTTTGAGAAAATTTCCATGAAGACCCCCCCCCCCTGCCCCCTTAATTGATCATCATCATGAAGACACGAAAACGATGTAGCTCGAGGCTACCTGCCTGTGAATCGACTAGTTTAGGCTTTTTACGGCCATCCACAGGGGTGTGTGTAAGAACCCCCGGATCTGACGTTATCCAAGACCGGACCTTACCCAGATAGTTCTTCCCTGGATCAGCGTACATCGGTCGTCATGGTAACATCGGTTGCCATGGTTACAGAAACCCGACCTGACGGCCTTACCAGCCGGGAGCTGAAGTGTCGATAATTAGGACGGGCACTGCGAACTCGCCAAGGGTTCACCGCCAATTGGGTGTTAAGAGGACGACCCATACCACAATGGTAATTGGTCTGATAACGAACCAAGCGCGGCAAGCCTCGGTAACAATCCCAGAAGAGCCGCCGAGACTGTCGCTCTCAAGCCACCTGTGAACCACGAGTCACGTCGCATCACTTCTCTTGGACCGATCCAGAGTACGTTACGTTTTTCTACTCGTGACTTAAGATGGAAGTATCCGGAAGGACTTCACCACCTTGATGAACTCTGCCGATCTCTCTGGACCTCACCCTCGAGCGGCTGATGATGATACACCACTGTCGCAGTACTTCCCGGAGTAGCCACCACGTTGAACCTTGTCGGATTCTACGCCTCTAAGCTTCACCAGAGATCTAACGACCACCGGAGTGAGTACTCCTAGAAGGCTTTAGGATTAGAACTTAAGTTAAATTATTATGACGATATTACGATTATATATATCCATTGCTTGGTATAATTACCTTGATGTCAGAAGCTATATTCTGGCCCCCTAAATAGGCGTACCTTACTGGTGTTATTATATAAATCAGTGACAACAAGGGTCACCAGCCAGGAGCAATCCTGTGCTGCAAATTGTCATTGAAATTACGTTAAAATAACAACACTACTAATACGGAATGATGCCGTGTCTCTCGGAGGCTTTCGAGTGCCACTAAATTAGTGGAACGTTACGAACCCGAGACCCTGGTGGAACCTGAAGGAGGACATGATGCAGGTAAGTATTGACCCGCTTGCCCGGGCTATCCAGGTTTGATCATGTTTGGGAGCTATAGGAAAGCTTCTATGGAGCCTTAAAATAAACTCTCCGCCCTAGGTTGATTGACATATTATTCCAGGCCACCTTTTGTAGTTCACAGCCAGTTTAACGACGGCTGGGCTCTTACAGTGTGTCACGTCAATAAATGTATTTAATTGTAGTTTACTATAGTTACTGTACTTGGACAATTACAAGGATTTTTCTCATAATATTTAAACAGTAAAACGCAAATTTATCAGCAAGAATGAAAATGAGAACTTCTATTTTATCAATATAATGCAAATACAATACCACTGAAAATATGAACAAATTTGAATATAAAATCATTGACTTTAAAACTTAAACAGCAAACTAAAAAAACAGCTCAATTTGAAATAACCTCAGAACTGTAACATGTATATACCATAACTTTTCTCGAGCATCCCCCATCATAACAGTAGAAAATCTGAAGTCGTAGCAGAACAAATTCGATTCCATAATTTCTAAACTAGCTGAAGATAATCGAAAAAATAATATTTACAATAATAAGAAGATTTAAACTAAGTAGAAACTACTCTATCTGATATATTCCATAAGATAATAAAGTAACAGCTTATTATCTTGTTACACTTAATGTGGGCAAATAATTAGCTTTTAATATCAGAGTACTGGACACGAGAGTACAAACCATTGAGTACGGTACAGAGCGTTTGTAATGATAAGTTAACATTGCGTTAATTTTGGCCCACTTTGTAGCCTGTTATACATAAACTGTGAGTCGCCTGGTAAACAGGGCTTTACAACCATCAAATACACAACCGTGTCCATTATAAATTAACAGAGTAAGGAGCCTAGAGTTGAACTTGTTGTGCTGGGTAAGGTACCTGAGCTTGAACTGGTTGTGCTGTGTAAGGTACCTGAGGTTGAACCGGTTGTGCTGGGTAAACTTGGTTTGGTTGAGCAGGGTAAGGAACTTGTGGCTGAAACTGTACCATTCTTGGATTAACAGAGTTACGGCTGCAACACTCACATAACTTGGCTCTTACCGCGGCAAATATGAGAGATGCGATCAGTAGAGCAACAACCACTGGGACAACTGTAAAACCAGCAATTGCCATAAATGTTTCACGTTCCCAGCTATACGGATAATAATTATCATAATAATAATCGGACTTCTTGCCTATGGTAGCTTCATTTCCTTTCACTTTTCCAAGTCCGGTGCCACCAACAATGCACGATATTCGACCATAATCCAAAGCACATATATGGTCAACATATACAAAGGACTCTGTGATTCCCTTGTGTGGAGAGTGCCGATCCTCCGAATAGTTGAAACATCGCCAAAAATCTTGAGAATTCAACTCCGCCAAGGGCACACCAGAACCACTCTCAGGGTAAATACCAAAAGACATGACGTTTTTGAAGGGGTTAACATACCACTGTAGCTCCCCACCGGTAACAACACACTGCAACAACATCTTATCTTTTAGCCCTTTCGTGTAAAACTTCTCAAAGTACTCTACTTTTGTGTTCTGTTTGATGCTTGTGTCGTTTACATTGTAAAGGGTTATGTTTTGCAGTGAACTGACTCCTCTGTTGTAGTAGTTGTTCTCGTCTACTGTGTGATGTGAAAAGTTACATGTGTATTTCCCAAAGTCAGCTGCAACCACACTTTTGATGGTTAGGGATGATGCATAACAAGCCATTTCTCTGCTAGCATAGTCATTTTTGTCGCCTGAGTTCATGTCAACTATGGGGCCGAATCCTTTTATTAAATCTGTTGTCCATTCAAAGTTTTCACAGTAGTCGTACGTGATGATAGACTTAGTATCATATTTCCAATTTTTTGTATCAATCTTTTCACCATCTTTCAACCACATGTGGAAACAGCCGTCCTGCCAGGATGGGCTACATTGACGGGAAGTCTCAATATAGTCAGATTGTGACCTCTCAATTATTTTAGTACATCTCAACTGAACATCTTGACCCAGGTTTTCGACCGGAACTCTCTGTAAAGCTGTGTGGCCCAGATAGTCTGAATCGGGGTATCCTGGTGTAGGTTTACTAGGTTGCCAGGAACCATTAACTACATACAGTGTAACTAGTATTATCTGGAAAAACAAGTGCGCCAACATCTACTTTCCTAGTCACATCCGTTCCTAAAGTATATGGTTACATTATGATTAGTTCATACTGTTTGGTTACATTTAAACAATATATATCATGGTTTGGAAAGGACATACAAAATGTTTTTATTGAATATTTTAAAGTGTGAATCTTGTTTTCTAGCACTATACTAGGTAGGGAGAGTAACTGGGTTTTTCGCTCATAACACGGCCATTTTTTGTCCAAAATAGATGTAAATTCGTGTATGAGTTCAGGGGACTAAAAAAGGCTTATATTGCCGGATCTTGCAAATCTAAACGGAGAATATAGCTTGACTAATTCTGGGTATATTAAAGTATATTAAAATGTAGGGTTTTTTCGATTTGAGGGCAGGGATTATACTCAAAAATTCAATGATTGAGGTTAGGTTCAACTTTTTTTTAATTTCGAGGTTTGCATTTAAAGTGATTAAGCACACTCAACTATTATATAAAAATTAGTGCACATGCCCAAATAAGGTCATAAAGGTTTTTGCTTATAACTCAGTCAATGCAATTTGTATCCAATTTTGATAAAACTTTACAACTTTGACCAAAAGATTAATATAATATCTACTTAAATTAATTGAAGCACCCAAAGTATGTTTTTTTAAATATGTTAAGGTTTCACATGTTATATCATTATTTATAACATTGCTCTTATTTAGGACAGGATGTCAAGTTTCGTTTCCACCTAGTGGTGAGTTTGTATGTTTTCGAGTACTATGTTTTAAAGTACTATTAGCCGTTTTATAAATCCCGTTTTATGATGTATTCTTGACTATTTTGACGGATGTTACTCGTCTAACTTTCTTCGAAGTAGCGCGCGCCGGTTTCTTCTCGAAATGTTATATGTAATGGCCCGACGGCAAGTGCTACGAAGTAGCGCGCGCCGGGCCAGACCATTAACAATGGTCAATGACTATTGAGCAATGAATATTGGATTATGTATTTCTAATCCTTTTTCTATTTCAGATTGTTATAACTGTCATTTGGTCGTTTTATTGCATTAAACATCACATAGCCATGTGTATACGCGTACTGAGTGACGCGCTTGTTTCACAAGTAGAATATCCTTTGCCGCCTTCCAATGTTAAGGTGATTTTGCATAATTGGGATCAAATATGGGGGTGGCTGTCCTGCGGGCACCGGTACGTAAATGGCTTGAGGTAGTTGACTGTTGACTTGCTCTAACCAGAGCCCTCTCGCTTGCAGTAGCGCGTGAAACAAGCGCGTCACGCAGTACGCGTAGACACATGGCTATGTGAAACTGTTGACGGATGTTACTCATCTAAATTTCTTCGAAGTATATGTGCCATGTTACGAAGTATGAAGTCTATAATGCGCACAGGGGTATATTCCATTGACAATGGAAAAGTACGTGGGCACCGGGCACCCAAAGTCTGGAACCTCCTCAAAAGTTTGGTCACAGGCCCTAGTTTGCTGGTCAATTGCTATCTCAAAATCAAATTTCACAACTAAAATCAAAATGAACCCCGACCCCCTGCATATAAATTTGTGATTTGGATAGTATATAGACGCGCGCCTGGTTTAAAGTTCAAATAAACGAATAAAAAATATCGGAATTTACTACAAACTTTGAATTACTGCAAATGCAAAATTTCTTTTCCAAAACTACACGGTAAATTTAACAGGCTGGTTTTTCAAATTTGAATAGCATAATTAAATGCATGCGCATTGTATCACGTCGTTGGTCGTAACCCACACAGTTGTAGGTTTACAACCTACCAGGACGCGCGCCGAGTTGGACGGTCCAATATATGGAACAGATATTTTACGAGTATCACCCGTTAACCCACACAGTCGTTTCATTTTATTGTTTCACTTTATCGTTCTCACGATACAGGGGGAGCCGCTCAGTCGTGCGCGGCGGGTCAAACAACGTATGATATGATATGACAAATACAATGTGCTGCAGGCCGGTAATTTAATGAAAAAATTACCAATGTCATGTCATAATTCGACCGTTCAATTATTTTTCCATTTGTGGATTCATTTAAATCAAAATTTAATTAATTTGCGTGTCATTTAATTTGGGATTCAATTTACCAATTTACCCTCAATGCAATATGCAATAATCCAATATAATTAAAACTAAATTTTGTAGTAGTTTTTGAAATCCATTATGCATTAATTTGATTAATTTATTTTAAATAAGTGTGATTAAATTAATAATCAAACAAAATTTTGTTTCTTAATTTTTTTTCTCTCTGTAATTCAATTAAGAAATTATAATTAATTATAATGCTTTTGGACACGAAACACAAAAGAAACACTTAACGTATTACCTGGGGAACCCAGGCTATTGTGTTCATAAACAAATAAATAGATTCGACGGATTGACAGGCGCAGGCTGAGCACCGACCAGTAACCTACCTCCGGCCCTACATATGACATAGTGATGAGGATATTGATGATTATTAGATAGTTGCTCTAACCAGAGCCCTCTCGCTTGCAGTAGCGCGTGAAACAAGCGCGTCACGCAGTACGCGTAGACACATGGCTATGTGAAACTGTTGACGGATGTTACTCATCTAAATTTCTTCGAAGTATATGTGCCATGTTACGAAGTATGAAGTCTATAATGCGCACAGGGGTATATTCCATTGACAATGGAAAAGTACGTGGGCACCGGGCACCCAAAGTCTGGAACCTCCTCAAAAGTTTGGTCACAGGCCCTAGTTTGCTGGTCAATTGCTATCTCAAAATCAAATTTCACAACTAAAATCAAAATGAACCCCGACCCCCTGCATATAAATTTGTGATTTGGATAGTATATAGACGCGCGCCTGGTTTAAAGTTCAAATAAACGAATAAAAAATATCGGAATTTACTACAAACTTTGAATTACTGCAAATGCAAAATTTCTTTTCCAAAACTACACGGTAAATTTAACAGGCTGGTTTTTCAAATTTGAATAGCATAATTAAATGCATGCGCATTGTATCACGTCGTTGGTCGTAACCCACACAGTTGTAGGTTTACAACCTACCAGGACGCGCGCCGAGTTGGACGGTCCAATATATGGAACAGATATTTTACGAGTATCACCCGTTAACCCACACAGTCGTTTCATTTTATTGTTTCACTTTATCGTTCTCACGATACAGGGGGAGCCGCTCAGTCGTGCGCGGCGGGTCAAACAACGTATGATATGATATGACAAATACAATGTGCTGCAGGCCGGTAATTTAATGAAAAAATTACCAATGTCATGTCATAATTCGACCGTTCAATTATTTTTCCATTTGTGGATTCATTTAAATCAAAATTTAATTAATTTGCGTGTCATTTAATTTGGGATTCAATTTACCAATTTACCCTCAATGCAATATGCAATAATCCAATATAATTAAAACTAAATTTTGTAGTAGTTTTTGAAATCCATTATGCATTAATTTGATTAATTTATTTTAAATAAGTGTGATTAAATTAATAATCAAACAAAATTTTGTTTCTCTGTAATTTTTTTTCTCTCTGTAATTCAATTAAGAAATTATAATTAATTATAATGCTTTTGGACACGAAACACAAAAGAAACACTTAACGTATTACCTGGGGAACCCAGGCTATTGTGTTCATAAACAAATAAATAGATTCGACGGATTGACAGGCGCAGGCTGAGCACCGACCAGTAACCTACCTCCGGCCCTACATATGACATAGTGATGAGGATATTGATGATTATTAGATAGTTGCTCTAACCAGAGCCCTCTCGCTTGCAGTAGCGCGTGAAACAAGCGCGTCACGCAGTACGCGTAGACACATGGCTATGTGAAACTGTTGACGGATGTTACTCATCTAAATTTCTTCGAAGTATATGTGCCATGTTACGAAGTATGAAGTCTATAATGCGCACAGGGGTATATTCCATTGACAATGGAAAAGTACGTGGGCACCGGGCACCCAAAGTCTGGAACCTCCTCAAAAGTTTGGTCACAGGCCCTAGTTTGCTGGTCAATTGCTATCTCAAAATCAAATTTCACAACTAAAATCAAAATGAACCCCGACCCCCTGCATATAAATTTGTGATTTGGATAGTATATAGACGCGCGCCTGGTTTAAAGTTCAAATAAACGAATAAAAAATATCGGAATTTACTACAAACTTTGAATTACTGCAAATGCAAAATTTCTTTTCCAAAACTACACGGTAAATTTAACAGGCTGGTTTTTCAAATTTGAATAGCATAATTAAATGCATGCGCATTGTATCACGTCGTTGGTCGTAACCCACACAGTCGTTTCATTTTATTGTTTCACTTTATCGTTCTCACGATACAGGGGGAGCCGCTCAGTCGTGCGCGGCGGGTCAAACAACGTATGATATGATATGACAAATACAATGTGCTGCAGGCCGGTAATTTAATGAAAAAATTACCAATGTCATGTCATAATTCGACCGTTCAATTATTTTTCCATTTGTGGATTCATTTAAATCAAAATTTAATTAATTTGCGTGTCATTTAATTTGGGATTCAATTTACCAATTTACCCTCAATGCAATATGCAATAATCCAATATAATTAAAACTAAATTTTGTAGTAGTTTTTGAAATCCATTATGCATTAATTTGATTAA